GTCATCGCTGAGCCAGGCTGAGTCTTTGTTGATCTGATCAGCCTGTCCTCGCAGAGGAATGAGCGGGACGCAGCGAGAGACAGCTGCGAGGAAGGACACACTCTCTCCCTGTTCACCTTGACCATTTGCTCATTCATTACATCTGATGGGTATTGGCAGCCCCTGGGCTGATGCTGTTTGTATCGACCCCGAGCTGATAAACTGTGACGTAACGTCAAGAGATGTCCTGACACCGCTATCAATTCCTTGCTACTGTTGGCTGGAGGTTCGGGGGCATCAATAGCGGTTGCTGTAATGTCACGGGAAGCAGAAAATCTGGAGCTGTGGCTGATGAACAAGTAGCTTTGAAATTGATTGGGATCCAGTCAATGCCTTGATGCTGAGATGTTCCATGGATGGGGAGTGGGGTAAGCGAGGTCGCTCTGAGGCCAATGTGACTTACTTTGCAACCGAATTGGGTAGGTTGGTAGACCAGCCCGGCCCGGCCCGTCGGCAGGACCTGGAAGGGCAGACCAGTCACTGGGGGCAGGGAATCCTCCCCCTCAGCTCCTGGTAACCCTACACGCCAAAGCCCTAAATTGGTAGGGTGGCCCGAGCTGGACAAGCAGCAGGAAATCTTGGCCAGACAGCGCTCTCGATGACCACCTATGCGGTTTTAGCTGGTTAGACGCCAGCAGTTACCCCGCAACGCACGCTCTGGAGTCCCCCAAGCCTTGGCTCTCGCCAAACTGTCACTCTCTTTCTCTGTCTCTCTCTGCTCGGTCTCTCTCTCTCTCTCTCTCTCTCTCTGTCACTTTCTCTGCCTGTGCGTGTATCTTTCCCTCTGTCGTTCTCTCCCTCCGTCATTCTCTCTCTCTCTCTCTCTCTGTCACTCTCTCTCTGTCGCTCTGCCTCACACACACACTCTACACGACAACGCTGCCCGCACACTGACCTTGGTACTAATTAAAGATTTAACAGTTAATTAAATAATAATCTGCAGTGAGAGCGATCTGAGCTGCCAGCAGTGTCTGTTCCGCTGGGCGCTGCGTAAATTACAGAGGACAGACATCACTGAGACAGTTGCTGGGACACTTACTGGTACACACGCCCTGACCATTAGCACTGTCTGCTTTCAGTCCACGTCTACGGCCGCCTAACCCCACGCAACCCCCTCAACCACGCCAATCTCCCCCCCCATCCACATCAACACACACACCCCATCCAACCCTCCCTCAAACCACAGTCCGCACAATTCTTCCCACCCCCGCGCCAACCTCCACCCAACCGCTGTAGTGTATTGCTGAAGAGCACACGCCTCGCCAGCGAGAGGACCCGGGTTCGATTCCCGGTGGGAACAAGTGTCCTTATTCCACACAAAGGCCTCTGCTGACCGAGCGGAGCAGTGAGTAGGAAACCGCCTGTTTAAAAAAACAGTCACCCCATCCATGGCTGTTTGTGCGTAATTGGCTGCCGAGTTTCGCCCACAAAATATCCAGTTAATTCACTTTGCAGTATATTCCGTGAAGCGTCTTGAGGTTTTAACGTGAAAAGGCGCTGTATCAAATGCAAGGCGCATTATTATCCACACCAATGCCCCCTTTACTCTTGCCAACCCCCACCACCCCCGCCCCCCTCACCAACTCACACAGACAGTGCTCTCGATGGCAAGCTATGGTTTTAGCTGGTTAATCTCTAGCAGTTATCCCAATGCACACTCTGGGGTCCCCAAGCTTTCCCGCTGCTTGTCCAGCTGGGGACCACCCTACCTCTAAGAGCTTTGGCTGCAGGGTTAACAGGAGCTGAGTGGGAGGATTCCCTGCCCCCAGCGACTGGTCGGCCCTTCCAAGTCCCGATGAGCCAGACCGGGCTGTGCTGTCATCAGCAGTGGACCTGCCCGGTCTCAAAGTGCTTCTCAGAATATAGTGTAAAGTGAATCGACTATAGTTTGTGGGAAAAACGTGGCAGCCAATTGCTCACAGCAGCGTCCCACAACAGTCATGGGTTGAGTGACCAAATGTTTTTTTTGGAGGGATTATTGCCCCCGGAAAGCGATCCGCCAATCGACTAACAACCGCTACTTACTGCTGGGTAAACAGGGGCGTGTACGTGGAGTAAGGAAACTTGTGGAAGGTTTCGTTCTGCCGGGAATCGAACCCGGGTCCTCTCGCTTGCGAGATGAGCGGTCTAACCTCTACTCTACAGGACTCCGATAAAATGCTATCATGTAGTACTAATGGCTCAATCTCTCACAGTTAGCTTGGATTGACTTTGTGAACTATTAATTAAATGTCCTCAATATTCGTTTGATACAAGATGAATTATGCTCCATTAAAGTCACATGAAAATAATTAATTATACCCCCACACTATTTAAATCGCAGTTTAATGTCATGATAAAACACCATGGCGCCAATAATTACACAACTATTGAATGATATTTTGGGAAAGTCTATTTAATAACATCTCTACACTTATTAGATATACATCTCTGCAATAAATTTAGTTAAGTATCATTTGTTTTTCGTTAAATATATTGATTATAAATGGTATTGATCCGGCCTCTATGGTGATGACATGATTAAATGTGCTCAGTGTTACTGCAGTAGTGTATATTAATTGATAATACTTTGTTTTATCATTCATTTTCTCCCCTGCCTTAATAATAATAATCTTCACATTTGATAGAGCTAAAATCAGAACTCAAAGGAAATTGGTGTTACGTTTTAGTGACCTTGTACTTTCTAGGTGAAAAGTATTATTTGTGCACAGTAACAGTGATAATCCTTGCCTTTGATATAGTGCCTTATCACGTCTTCGAGACGCCTCAAAGCGCTCCACAGGTTATAACGTAAAGTGTAGTGGCTGTGTATTTTGTCGGCGAAACCCAGCAGCCAATTGCGCCCAGCAGTGTCCCACAAACAGTCGTGGGCTGAGTGAGCTTATTATTATTTTTAAGGGGTTATTATTGCCAGAAAGCGATCTGCCAATCGACTAACGACTGGGTTCCTACGTACTGCCACGTAAACCGAGGAGTGCGGAGTAAGGAAACTTGCCTAAACCCCACACAGGATTCAAACCCGTGTCCTCTCGCTTGCGAGGCGAGTGCTCTAACCACTGAGCTCCAGGACTCCACGTAAAGCACACGGAACACGTGTGCGCAGACTGACAGCAATCGAACCCGGGTCCTCTCGCTTGCCAGACAGATAGTACCGTGGTTTAACGACCCTGCATTGGTCAAAGCTCTGAGGTGGGGCTTGAACCTGCAAACTGGACGAGAGTGCTAACTGACCAAGTGAGCCAGACTGACCCCTTGCCTAGTGTTGTTGTTTCGAGGTGTTCTCAGCTCTCTCTCTCTGGCGTCATGTGGACATTATTCGGATGTGAGCCCTGACGCCGAGTGTTGAGTAAGTACATTCTTCATCTGAAATGCTGTTGTGATCTCACGTATACAGCCCTCTGGTCCCTCATCTCCGGGTCCATTCACTGTCTTACGCTGGACAATGGGGCTATGAGACCAATTGGCCAAAAAGACATCATTTTGCAATGCTCAGCAAAAACCAAACCTATCAAATTCCTTTTGAGGGTTTTTTACGTTGGATTATATTGGGTTCCATCCTCTATGTTAAACTGTGTTCTCTCCTCCCTGATGGGGTATGGAAGGAGGAGGTAAGCGGGGTTCTGCTCGAGGCTGATCTTGTCTCCCAGGTGACGTGTTTAATGGAGCACGGTGCAGGAGAGGACATAAGCTGCAGAGTTCTGGCTGATCTGCAGCTTGTGGAGGGAAGTGTTGGGAATTATTCATATTAATATTAGTAAGGGTTATTATTAATATCGTTGGGCGTTACTGCCTTTTAGTGACAGCTGCCATGTACGCCCACAAAGACACACGCACTGCACTCAGCAACAAAGACTTGAAAGTGCGTGGAGTCTTTTGTCTCTGTAGATGATATAAAAATCTCTTCCCCGGAAATCTCACTCTCCACATCCTTTCTTCCTAAGCCAAGCTCTCAGTGTGGTTAAGGCAAGCAGACAAAACTGGGTTATATATAGTCTGTACATAGCACTGAATGTTCAATGTGGAAAATAAGCCCCAGTCTACGACCATATGTCACATCTATTGAGAATATATATTAAGCAAATAATAATGTGGTCACTCAATCCAACAACCACAACAAAATTACATTTGTATAGTCTTATACACGTCCCAATCCACAACTGTTTGTGGGGACACTGCTGTGCGCATTTCGCCCACAAAGTATGCAGTCAATCCACTTTACAGTATATCCTGTGAAGCGCTTTGAGACATCTCGAAGACTGTGATGAGGCGCTATATCAAATGCAAGGATTATTATTATTATTACTCACACATAGACATATGCACACACTCGAACACATACTTGTGCATAGATACACACAGATATAATTACATTCACACACACACACACACACACACAGACACTCACACCGACATACATACTCACACAGACGCGCACTCGCACGCATACATTCAACTCAGAGAGCTGTGTAACATTTTAAACGAGATTAAAAAAGTAAACTTATACTTTAGGATGGGCACCGAGACAGTAGAACAAGAGGACACAGGTTTAGAGGTGAAAAGGGCAATTTCAGGACAGACACCAGGTAGTATTTCTGTACCCAGAGAGTAACTGACAAGCCTCTGAGACTCTATCCTGCGTGTTAGTGCACCAAGTTGTTGTAATTAACGACCGGAACGTGGCAATTAATTATCTCTTCCCTTTTCCAACTGCGCCGCGGGATCTTTAACGTCCACCTGAACAGGACACAGACGGGGATGACGTCTCTGATAATACAGCGCTCCCCACTCCTGGTGTCCTGGCCGAATCGGTCGCTCACTTTTCTGAAGTCCTGTAGCTCCGTGCTCTGACCAACTGAGCTACAGGACTTCAGGCAAGAATCTAAACAGGCGGAGTGGGCAGACAGCTGAGAAGCTGAAGCTTGGGGAGTAAATGAAGCGAAGGGCGAGAGGTTTTAATGTGAAAAAAAATATTTACAATTGAGCGGTGATTTTACAAATGATAAAGCATCCAGTCCACCCGGGAGTCGGACCTTGATCGAGCCTTTGCCGTGTTGACCCGGCTCCTGTGACCAGCCACAGTACAACCACAGCTTCCCTTCAACCCCGGCCACCTCAGTCCTCCTGCTGCGAGAGACATTGTTCATACTGTTAATACTCGTTTTGTTTTATTATTACAAAAGCAAAACAAGCTTTAGTTCCCATAGCCCTGATCCTGGATCTCCCTCCCTCCCTCCCTCCCTTTTTGCCTCTACAAATCCCTTCAATAATAATAATAATATATAATCCTTGCATTTGACCCAGTGTCTTATCACGTCGTCGAGACGTCTCAAAGCGGATACACTGCAAAGTGAATCGACTGTGTAGTTTGTGGGCTAAACATGGCAGCCAATTGCGCACAGCAGCGTCCCGCAGACAGTCGTGGATTGAGTGACCAAATTATTTTTATTTCTCTTTAAATTATTATCCCCCAGAAAGCGATCTGCCAATTGACTTAACAACCGTGTTCCCATTTACTGCAGGTAAACAGAGGCGTGTGCGTGGAGTAAGGAAACTTGCCCAACATTTCGCTCTGCCCGGGAATCGAACCCAGGTCCTCTCGCTTGCGAGGCGAGTGCTCTTAACCACGGAGCTGTGGGACTCCACTGACTGGAGAAGCTGATTGATTAACACTGGCTTTGCAGTGATGTTACACCAACATTACACCACTGTTCTCCCATTTGCAGCCAGGCTGGGGAGCAAATGCTGTGACACCACATTCAGAGAAAAAAAAACCTTTGCGGCCACCGATGCTAATCCCACCGAGTAACTGTGGGAACAGGTTTGTGCCGACGATGGTGGGAGGAAGGGTTGGGAGGCAGTTGGGGAGTTTCACATTACACTGAACCAAAGCTGTCCTGGCCGCCAACCACCCCCCCACCCCCAAATAAAATTGGTCACTCACTCCATGGCTGTTTTGAGGGGCAATTGGCTGCCGCATTTTGCCCACAACATATACAGCGAATCCACTTTACAGACTGAATGCCCGAGAGAGAATGCTCCAGTTTATACAACGATTGGAAGGGAATTAAGAGCAAGACATCTATTGGAAAAGGCCTTGCTGGAACTCTCGCGACTGTGATTAGGGACCACATCGAGGCTGTGCGCCAGGAATATACAAAAAAGCTCTTCTGTTTGGCTTTCTTATTAACATCGGTGATTTGCAGACAGCGCTCTCAATGGCAAGCTGTGCGATTTTTAGCTGGTGAGACTCCAGCAGTTACTCCTAATGCACTCCAGCAATTACTCCTAAATGCCTCGGCTCTCGCCGACCTGCGCCTAATACTTTCTGGAATTAGGTAAGCAGGATGCATCTCTCCAGCGAGAGAGAGAGAAAGAGAGAGAGAGCCCATTCCATTCCAACAATCCAATGAGGAAACAGATTTAAGATAATTGGCAAAAGAACCAGAGGGGAAATGAGGAGAAATTTCTCTACCCAGAGAGTTGTGTCGAACTGGAATGCTCTGCCTGAAAAGGGAGTGGAAGCAGATTCGTTCGATAGTTGCTTTCAAAAGGGAATTGGATATGCACTTGAAAAGCATATGCGGTCACTCAATCCACGACTTTTTGTGGGACACTGCCGTGTGCAATTTCGCCCGCAAGACATACAAGATATGCCCGGGCAGGGCGCAATGTTGGGCAAGTTTCCTTACTGCTAGGTAGACAGAGGGGTTTGGAGTAAGGGAACTGGCCGAAGGTCTCAATGACGTGATGAGGCGCTATATCGAGGGCAAGGATTGATATGATTATAACACGTGGCATTTATATAGTGCCCTTCATGCATTGTAGCGTCTCTCAAGGCGTGCAAGCAATGATTTTGGCAGATTGACGGGAATCCAGGGCTGAAAGGGTTAATGGGCGCAGCACGAACATACCTGTTTCCGCCCAACCTCAGGGCCACTGACTTCACTCCCCTCTCTCCCCAGACACGTCGGGACATTCCTGCAAACAAAAGTTGTGAACTTAACTTCTTTTCAATTCAAAATAAACACGACACACACAGACACACACACACACACACAATGCAACACCAAAACATTATTAGGTGACTTTTAAGAAACATCATCATGCAATGCTAGAGAAATTTAAAAATAGTTATTAGCTAGAATTATGAATTTATTATGATTCAAAAGATCAAAACATCGAGGCTAGCTACCACAACATTATAGACAAAGGTTATGTGTTTTTTTTACACTTCGTTTAACAGGACAGAATTTAAGCGATGTATTGCTGCTTAGTTTGCAGTTATAGTTTAGTCTCTATACAATTACAAGACTGATTTATAATTGTTAGGAGTTTAGATTCTTTTCTGGTGTATTTTTTTACTCTAGCAACTTTGCAGCCTTGCTTTTGCGTTTTAGCGTTTACTGTGTTTTTTTTTAAATGTTAAAGGTAAATTAAGTGACATTAAAATCTACTCGGTTCATTTACCTTTGCAACTGAAGACCTTTTAAGGGTTACACATCCATTGCCACTGACGAGAGGCACATCAATTAGTCAAGTCTGTCTCTCTGCCTCTAAAAATGGTTTAATTGCTTCCAGCGAAGGATTCAATTAGGGAATTCTCATACAAATTCCAAAGTGCCGCTAGTGNAAAAATGCTTAAGACAAGATGAAAACGCAGATGACTTCCTTTGTAAACCGCTCGGAAACATATTCCCACAGGCCAACATTGTGGATCTCGGGGCTATTTTTTGTGCCTTATATTTAGNAAAAAAAACATTGTTCGGGTAGATATTTTCCATCCACTTCATAAGCCATTGATTTTTTTTAAAAAAGAAAACGTTTTAAAGACATTCGCACCTTTTTCCCTGTTTATGCGATTTTTTTTCTGCGTTTTATTTGGCTTTAATGTAAACCGTGTCAAGTTACCGATGTGCCACACACACACAGCATGTTTTTTTTCTCTCAAAACTTTATTTGTATCAAGCAAGAATAGTAATAGTCATTGTTTTTGATCTCAATACTACAGAATAGCTGGAGAGCTTCAGTTACAAAAAGAATACAACTTTACTTGGCATCTGGAGTTTACTGCGGTTTTTAAGTCTGTTTTACACGGGGAGAAAGCTCTAACACAAGGTAAAATAAAGTCAAATTAAAACGTTTTATTTACCAAGAAAAGTACTAAAAGCAAACAAACGGAGAAAAAAAGGACGCGGATGTTAACTGAAAATCGTGTTTACATTTTTAATTGAACTATTTTCAAACCTAGTTTTATCGCTAGTTTTAAAACGGAACAAAAGAAGTTATACCTGTTTACTTATTTTCACGTGACAAAGATAAAAATCTTTCTCCTCTTGTTCCCCCCCCCCTTCTCCCCGCCCCTCCATTCCCAATCTGTAATATTTCAAATCAGGTTTTTATCCAGCCAAAGATTAGGGCTCAAAACCAGAGGGCTCCGAACTTTTTAAACAGTTTTTTTTTTAAGAAAAAAAATCTTTCGTATAAAATAACAAATTACTTTTAACAGCATACATCACTGTAGGAACAGCTAACTGATGACTGTATTTCACAAAGTGGCTGCTGGGGTCAGTAACGGGGTACATAAGGGTGTTCCCTGAAAGCTCCTTTCGCTGCTCGTGTCGGGGGGGCTTTCATCCGTTGGATGTTGGAGTTCGTCCACTCTTCCTGACCTGTTAGGGGGGGGAATTACATAGAGAAAGTTACTTTGTGCAGAGACCTGAGCATTTCTTCTGATGAGTCAACAACGAACAAACAGTTTCGAGTGGAGTCCTGGAGGGTAGTGGTTAAGAGCACTCACCTCGCAAGCGAGAGGACCTGGGTTCAATTCCCGGGCAGGGCGAAACTTTAGGCAATTTCCTTACTCTACACACACACCTCTTTTTGCCTAGCAGTAAGTAGGAAGCCGGTTGCTAGTCCGCTTTCTGGGGGTTATAGTCCTTTCATAAAAAACTAATAAATAATAATAATTTGTTCACTCACTCCACGACTGTTTGTGGGACACTGCTGTGTGCAATTGGCTGCCTTGTTTCTCCCACAAATTACAGTCAGTTCACTTTACTATATTCTGTGAAGCGCTTTGAGGTGTCTCAACGATGTGATAAGGCGCTGTATCAATTGCAAGGATTATTATTTTGCCGTACTTTGCTTTGTATGACAGGGTTTAGCAGCAGATTGCCGATAGCTTTCTTTTCGCTGAGAAATCGCACTGGTTCAGCATTCCAGACCAGCATTTTCTGTAACGTCAGGCTATAAAAATACGGTGAGGGTAATGCAGTCAATTCTCCCCTGTAATCCCTTCCAGGCTGGCAGGACAGTTTGTATCCGGTGATGAGTTTCAGTGGAGCTCCAGCTGATACCAGGGAACCGCTCTAATATTGCTTAAAGCTACACAGTGTGATCGTAAACTTCAGTAATGTAAATGACAGCTACCCGAGACTTGTGAAGTCAGAGAGAAATACTTTGCCAATCCTTTTGAAAATGTTTCTCTGCACGTCTTTGAGAGGTCTCAAAGCGTTTCGCAGAATATATTGTAAATGAGTCGACTACATTTTGTGGACGAAACATGGCAGCCAATTAGGAGTCCTGGTTAGAGCACTCGCCTCTCAAGCGAGAGACCTGGGTTCGATTCCCGGCAGGGCGAAACCTTGGGAAAGTTTCCTTACTCCATGCGCCTGATAATAATTCCGCAAGAAAAAATAAATAATAAATTAGTCACTTCAATGACTGTTTGTAGGACATTGCTGTGCGCAATTGGCTGCTGCGTTCGCCCACAAATATACAGTCAATTCACTTTACAGTGTGTTCTGTGAAGCGCTTTGGGACGTCCTCCCGACGAGAAAAGCGCTATATCGAATGCAAGGATTATTATTATTATTATCATTTGCAGTATATTTTGTGAAGCGCTTTGAGACGTCTTGCAAGGGTTATTATTATTATTAATTACACACAGCAGTGTCCCACAAACATTTGGCTGTTAATTTCATATTAAAGGGCACCTGTAATTCTCTCTGTACACACGTCTTCACCTACAAAGTGTTGTGCAGCTGTGTTTACCCACGACTTGCAATAAGACCCCATTAAAACAATCTGGCAAGCAATAATAAATCCTAGCGCATGTCAAATAAACATCCGTGATCAGATTTCAAACTTGAGACACATTTACACAGACGGCAGTGATGGTTAGAGCACTTGCTTTGCAAACGAGAGACTTGGGTTTGATTCCCGGCAGGGTGAAACCTTTGGTAAGTTTCCTTACTCCACACGCCTGACAATAATCCCTCCAAAACAAAAAACATTAATAAATTGATCACTTCAATTCATGACTGTTTGTGGGACATTGCTGTGTGCAATTGGCTGCCGCGTTTCGCCCACAAATATGCAGTCAATTCACTTTACAGTCTATTCTGTGAAGCGCTTTGAGACGTTGCGAAGACATGAAAAGCGCTATATCAAATGCAAGGATTATTATTATATTCGCTGTTCAGATAGATAATAATAATAATCCTTGCATTTGATATAGCGCCTCATCACGTCTTTGACACGTCTCAAAGCGCTTCACGAACATACTATAAAGCGAACTGATTGTATATTTTGTGTCCACAGAGCAGCCGTTCCACTGTGAGAGAGGGATCGTGAAGTCATTTTTCATCTCAAAGAGCTGCGTGGGACACAACTAGGCACAAGTGCTCACAGGATAACCCCTAGAGCTATCCTGGCATTTAGAAAGGTAATTTCTGTCAGAGCCACTGCATTAGATTTTATATTTAGAACGTTGATCGGAATCAGCTTTTATTCTCTGAGAAAGTGTTTGGTTACAAAACGAGTGTGTCGCCCACTTTTATACCACGTGCAGGTCGTTTCGGTAGAAAGAACTCAATGTTGACGACGGTGAATATTTAGTGTTGCGAATCAGTCACATGAACAGTTTTACAACTGTACAATGTCAGCTCGGCTCAGTTGGCTGCACCTTTGCCCGAGCTCATTGTCTGAGCTGACATTCTAGTGTGGAAGTGTGCGCCTGTTCGGGGGTATGTTAAAGATCCCGCGGCACTGCTAATAATAATAATTCTTGCATTTGATACAGCTCCTCACCACGTCTTCAAGACGCCTCAAAGCGCCTCGCAGGATATCCTGTAAGGTGGATTGACTGTATATTTTGTGGGCGAAACGTGGCAGCCAAATGCGCACAACAGCGCTCCACAAACAGTCGTGGATTGAGTGACCAAATCATTATTATTTTTTCTCTCGAGGGATTATTACCCCCGGAAAAGCGATCCGCCAAATCGACCATCAACCGGATTCCTACTTACTGCTAGGTAAACAGAGGCGTGCGTATGTATGTGTGTGGAGGAAGGAAACTTGCCTAACGTTTCACCCTGCCCTGAAATCAAACCCAGGTCCTCTCGCTTGCGAGTGCTCTAACCACTGAGCTGCAGAACTCCATATCGGTTTCAAGATCCACTCACTCATCTACAAATTCCTTCAGCCCTGGCATCTCCCTGCTTTTCTGACCCCATTTCCCACTCCATTACCCGCTGCCTCCACTTGGCTGGCTCCGGCCTCCTGTTTGTCCCTCTGTTCAACCATCGGTGGCTATGCCTTCAGCCACTATGCCCCCAAAGCTTTGGAACTCTTCCTTAATCCCTCCACCTTGCCCCCTCTTCTCAAACACAACCAAAGACCTTCCGCTACCTTCCCCTGGTTTGGCAACAGGCTCCGCCACTGTTAATTAAGCACTCCGAGACTCTGTATAAATACGAGTTGCTAATGTTACACTGTACTGTTATGAAACCTGCAATTTTAATTGATCCAAGAAATCTGCTTTAAGCACTCTGAGACGTCCTCCCGACGTGAAAGGCACTATATAAATGTACACTGCATAATGTAGTGTAGCACTGAATGACAGAGGTTCCATTACATTATGGGTGGAGAATTTGTTAACCGGTAAAGAACATGTATTTGTTAACCGGGGATATAGAAGATTTTATGGCTCGTTGGTTTAACAGACCATTTCTGTTAATATGTGGCTTTGTTGCTGGTTGCAATTTTAGTCCATTTAGGAACATAAGAATTGTTAGACGAAAGAAGACCAAGGCCCATCAAGTTCGATTTCCACCATCCTGCCAGTCTCTTGCACATGTCACGTTCCAAACTATATACTGAATCCCCAGATATTATTTCCTAAAATAAATCTATCTAATTTGCTTTTGAGAGAATCGACACTTTCTGTTTCCAGGGTCTCCCTGGGGAGCCCGTTCCATACGTTTACTACTCGATCACTGAAACAGTCTATTCCGCAGATTTGTTTTGAATTTATTCCCCTTCACTCGCAGCCCGTGGCCTCTTGTTCTGCTGTTCAGTACAAGATAAAACAGGTCATCCTGGTCTACATCATGAATGGGCCCATTATTTCTCACATACTCGGCTACTGAGCACACAGGCATGGAAAACTCCGCCTTCGATGTACATTTGCTGCACTGAGGACTTGATTAAAGAGGGTTTGAGACAGACAATGATAATGAACGGGGAGAAAGCTGGGCACAGAAATTCGTGGATTCTGACAGGTGTTTGATCTGGTCCAGATCCCCTGCTGATCCCACATGCTCAGCCTCAAGATTTGCCATGGTTTCACTTCTTTAAACCGCAAGAACTTTCCCTGAGCAATTTGGTGATCTTTAAGGAAGTAGTAACTCAATCTGATCGGATTAGATTTGTATAATATCATCCTAACTAATTCAACCTTACGAGGCTAAATCAGAAATGCTGATATAATGAATTCACTGCCCACAGCCCTCGGCAGCCAGCCTATTAATAGAGCTTCAGCAATGTTATAGGGAGAGGTACCAGATGTTGCATTTTACATGTTTTAACATTAGGAATAAAATGGGGGAGAGCGCAGAATGGAAGTAATTTTCTGCAGCTAAGTAAAACAGTACTCATTTGACTGAAAACTGTTTCCAATTTGTTTTTTTCAAGAAAGAAACGGAAGCTGAGGTCATCTTGGGTTCTCGTCAGCACATTCTTAGCTTAGCCTCCGACACCCACCCCCTCCCTTCTATCATCCACCTGATTAGGCACAGATGGGTCTTTGAATTAACGTCTCACCCAAGGGATAGCACATCCAACAATGCACAGCTCCCCCAGCACTGCAACGGAGGGTCAGCCTCGACTGTGAGCTCAAAGTCTCAATGTGGAGCTTGAACGGAGAGTTTAAGCAGAGAGTGCGAATAACTGAGCCAAGCTGACACCAGCTATCTGATCATCCTACATGAATGTGTAAGCTGTTATCAAAAATAAAAAACTATCTTGTCAAGTTAGGAGCTTTGGAGTGGCAGCAGAGAGATAACAGAAGATAATATAATCAGCTCCATCATCAAAGAACCGGGCGATGGAAGCACAATTGTTGATAAAAATGCCATTGATTTTGATGCGGTGAAACCACAAGTGAAAAGAAATCATCTGGTCCCAGCGTAATCCATCAGGACTTTGCATCAAAACTCAGCAGACGCCTAAATTAGATCATGATGAGACTGCTGATAAGAAGCCTTTCATGTCGAAGGACTGCTTACATTATATGTGTGTGTCAACAAAAAGAAATCTCTTAGGCCTTAAAAAAGATACAAATTCAACAAGGTCCATGTGCATTCCACATCGAATAACAATTCTAATCCTAGCATTTGATAGAGTGCCTTATCAGGTTGTTGAAATGTCTCAAAGCTCTTATACTGTAAAGCGAATTGACTATATTTTGTGGGCGAAACGCGGCAGCCAATTGGGCAAACAGACATAGATTGAGTGATCACATTTTTTAAAATTAATTAAATTTTTCAAAGGATTATTACCAACGGAAAGCGATCCGCCAATCGACTTATTACCTGGGTTTCTATTTACTGCTAGGTAAACGGGGGAGTGTGGAGTAAAGAAACTTGCCTAAGGTTTTGCCTCGTCTGGGAATCGAACCTGGGGGTCCTCTCGCTTGCGAGTCGAGGCGATTGCTCTAACCGCTACGCTACAGGACTTCTTTGATTGTCTCAATGGCTCAATTCCAAATAAATGTCTCAAACTGCTTTACAGACTAAGATTAATCAGAATCTGAAGTGAACGTTACAGGGGAATAACACTATAGCTAATCTGAGCCCAGCAGCATTAGTGTTGAATTTGAATGAGTGGGAATAAAGGTCAGTATAAAGGGAGATAAAATTTCTTCCTTAATAAAAAACAAAATTAGTGAGACATTCAAAGAAAAGGGCGATGATCTGGAAATAGATAACCATCTTGTTATTAATATCAAATTTAATATAAAACGCAGTCAATTCCCACCAGCAGTGCCCCACACACGCAGCCATCAAACAGATTTGATATTTTGCTGTTCCTAAAACCCTCGAGATCTAATGTAACTCTGGTAGCCTGAGTTACATCACATCTCTTGAGAAGATGTAGCTTGTGGAGTAGATGTTAAAAACAGCTGTGTTAATATAAGAGGTACAGGGAACGAGCACTGGGATTGGAGTCAGTTCCAGTCAATGTGTGAGCACCAGGGTGGTAAAGTGGATTGACTGTATATTTTGTGGGCGAAACACAGAAGCCAATTGCACACAGCAATGTCCCACAAACAGTCGTGGATGGAGCGACTATTTTTTTTGAGGGATTATTACCCGTCGATTGGTGGATCAAGAGTGATCCGCCAATCGACTAACAACCAGGTTCCGTCTTACTGCTAGGTAAACAGAGGCGTGTGGAGTAAGGAAACTTGCCCTGCAAGGAAAGAGGCTCCAAGTTCGACCAACCATTATGCTACCAGACTCCACAAACTAAAATCCGTGGAACAATCAGTAAGCGTGAGGTGATGGAGATTTAATATAAACTGCTACTCACCATATGAATCGTACGACTCCTGACTTGTTCCGTGAGCATAATCGTAATAATCAGAGGCACTGTGTAAAACAAGAAACAGATCACAATCAGCATCACACACACATTGGATCCAGCAAAAAGGAGTCAAATTTATACACAAACAACACACCATCAAATTCACACCTGTCTAGCGCCCTTCACGCAGGGAGAGCGTCCCAAGACCTTAAAAGTCATGTGGCATTGAACAGAAGCTTGAGTGGCTTCACTGATGGTTTCTCCAGGGATTCCTCTGTGTGGCACAGAGTCCCCAGGGTCCGCAGTAAATCCTGTGAAGTGCTTTGAGATGTCTCGATGACGCGATGAGGCATAACAAATGCGATGAGCCTTACATTTATTATCTCTCGGGTCTGGCTGAAAGACCATTGTTACTCCCCTCCTTTGGCATCTTAACTGGAGCCATTCTCCCAAAGTGCAGAGGGAGGAGAATGGGAGGGGGTGCGCTGTCGAGGAGAGGGTTTAAACCAGTGTGGGGAAGTGGGACAGGGAGCCAGTAAGGTCGGCAACACACACACACACACACACACAGACAGAAGTAGCAGACTGAAAGGTTATTCCATATACGCACACACGCACACACTGACAAGAAGGCAAGGGACCTGTCTGTTCAAGAATACAATGGAACAGGAGGCTTCAAACATTGTGTGTTTAAAAATAAACCTATTTGCCACTGCAATAAATCTCCCGGCTTTCAGTGAAAGCTTTTAGGGAAACCTGAAAGCGGTTACAAAGCACCGATCCCATCAAGGGATTCACACAAAGTTTTAAAAGGTGCAAGAGAAAGTTGGGCAGTTTAACAGCCTGAAACGCGACATTAGATTTCGGTGCTGGCTGGTATTGTGTATTTGTTTTCAACAGGATGAGAGAATAGTTTTTTTCTCTCACAGGTGTTTTTCGCATTCACTTTGGGATCAATTGTGGTTGCCAGCAGAAGCTGTTGGTGCACCTTTGAATGCGCAGAGGCACAAAAACCTTCCCCTGTAACATGCCTTTCCGTACGCTTATTGATAAATAAATAACCTGCATGTCTGGACCGAGAAATACTTTTAAGCGCGGTGAAAGATAAAATAGTAAAAAGCCACGGATGTTGGCGATACACAGCAGATTGATATGTGTGAGAGGAAGCTAGGTTACCCGATGTGTCACAAGTGATCCTCTTTCATAGTTTTGCTGCATTCACACGGTATATATTTGTATTTCTGTTGAGACCAGTGTCTGAAATGAGCAGTCATTACACTTCACCACACAGCCCACCCGCTGATTTCATTAAACTAATAACTTTATCAAACGTCTGTCCGGAACAATGCACAGAATGCAACAACAAATATATACAGTAAACCGCACATAAATCAGATCAGTTGGAACCATATATTTAATGTGACTTATGCAAAGTACGAGTTATGTCAAACTTGTATAGAATATAGACTCTTTGGAAGGGACTTGGGCGATTATATAATTTATACCAATTAGATTTACGCAAGCTTTACTGTAGCGGTCCTGGTCAGGAACATACTTCACCGAATTCAAGGATTTTTAAGTGACTGTATTTTGCAGGGCCCACAAACAAGACAACTGAGTGACCAACGTTATCTGGGGGATTGTCAGCCAGGACACCAGGAGAGAGAAACTCCCTTCCCTGTAAACTCGGATATAAACCAGGGACAACATGTAGAAAGTCTCCGCAGGCTTAGCACTTCACCTAGCTTAGATGTGCAAGATCATTTTTGTCTTAGATTTTAACATTTTCCAGAATTGAATGTCGAATGCCATCAAAAACAGGGCGATAACTTATAAATTAAAAAATATGTCAAACATACGTAAGTAACACAGACTTTCGCTGTGTAGCTAAATTCAGCGGCCAATCTGCATTTCAGTGCTCCGAGACGTACTGTGTGAAGGGCGCTGTAAAGTAGTTGTCGTTCATGGAGTCCTCTAGTGTACTGGTTAGTGCTTTCACCTTGCATTCCATTCCCGGTCAGGGTGAAACATTAGGTAAGTTTCCTTACTCTATATGCCTCTGTTCACTTAGCAGTAAGTAGGAACCCAGCTGTTAGTCGCTTTCCGGTGTGTAATAATCCCCCCACAACCCCAAAAAATATTTATTCAGTCAATTGACGACTGTTTGTGCGCAATTGGCTGCCGCCCACCAAATACACAGTCAATCCACTTTACAATATATTCTGTGAAGCGCTTGTACATTCTGTGAATTCTGTCTCAAAGGCGTGATAGGTGCTCTGTCAAATGCCAGGATTATAAAGGATTATAATTGTTATTTGTTGCAGCAATTTCCCATAGACTGCTGTATCAGCCAAGAAACATGAAGATAATTTTTACCCAGAGTTGTTACGGTCTGGAATGCACTGCCTGAAAGGATTTTGGCAGCAGATTCGATAACAGCTTTCAAAAGGGAATTGGATAAGTATTTAAAAAGGAAGAATTTGCAGGGCTATGGAGAAACAGCGGGGGAGTGGGATTAGTTGAATAGCTCTTTCAAAGAATCGGTACAGGGCCGATGGGCCGAATGGCCTCCTTCTGTATGGTAAGATTCTATGATTCTATATTCAAGTCAATAAAAAGGAAAAAAAATGGATCATTGAACTGCCAGGTCTCTTGAATCCCCTATTCCAATAGCAGAGCGTATGACTGATATCCATTCACTCTTTCTGCTACGTCAAGTGCTTGATTGGTTGTCCTAGTTCTTGGCAGCTGCCAGAAATCTCTAACGGGTCTCAGACAGCACCAGAGAACTCTGTATTGTCATTAATATGAGGGAAGCTGAAGCATCGTGAAGTTATCAATCAAGCTGGTCTGTTCTCAATATATTTTGATTGCAAGGCGGCCAAGCCAGCCAGAATGGTGCTCTTTAAACCAAGATAAAACATGTTAAATTGACATCTGAAAGTCAAAGGGCACGGCTTCCATGGTTATCAGCCTTGGAGTGCCTGAAAGTATTGTTCTGCCTTTACTTTCCTTCGCCCCATTTTGCATTATATACAATCACTGGGAAGCGCGATGTGATGCTCTCTTCACATGAAAGGAGCTGTATCAAATGCAAGGATTATTTATTATAATAAGGCTGGAAAGACAGAGTCTTTGTTCAAAGTCATCCCTCCAACACTGGGGATCATTCTCTAACTCACAGGCGAGTGAATTAAGCGCTGACCAAATGGAGATATGGAGTCCTGTCGCATAGTGGCACAAGGCCTCTTGCTTGCGAGGCGAGTGCTCTAATCACTACGCTACGAGATTGTGGGACTCCACAACCCCACATGGCTACCCCGAATGAACTTTTTTTTTTTTGGTTGGGTTATTCCACGGCTCCTACAATGCAGTCTAATTTGCTAACACAAACACCAAACTGGCTTAAATCCAAGGAAACAGTACTAACTGAGAGCTTTGTGATCAGAGCAATCCCAGCGGCTTCCTCATGCAAACATACACACAACTGATGTACCTCGGCAATCACCATCAAATCATCCAATTTGAGTTATTTGCTGACGTTTCAGCCCATCTTGTTGAACGTGATGCATTGACTTCCAATAACTGTTAAATGCCAGTTTGCTATGTTGTTGTGGGTAGAGCTGGAGAGATCCTTTATTATTCAGCAGCTCTCTTTCCCCATCGCCTGGTTTATGGAGTCCCTACATTTTCAGCGTGCTATTACATTGTATGCTATTGTAGTCCCATCTACCTGAAGAATAGGCCAGGGTGCAGCAGGAAAAAATATGATGGAACTTCAATGTTTCCTACAGCTACTACCTTCCACTGAGGGTTTAGCTGAACACATGATCACTTTGTTATAGCTTTCTAACAGGATTCCATTTATAAACCGCGATGAAAAGATTTCCATTTTTTAGTGATTGGATCGGTGCCCGAACAGGAACAACGACGAGTGACATTTACCAGCACCTTTCACGGCGGGAGGACATCCCAAGGCGCTGGACAGTCAAGCAGTCACGTCTAAAGAGCCGTCATAAGCTAACTGATGTGTCCGCAGGCTGCCGTTTTCAAGTCTGAACGCAAACCAAAAGCCTCCCCCCTCCCCGCCAGTCTTAAACTGAGCCTGCTGACTTCATATTGACCTGTCCACTCCCTCCGCTCAATGAGCTCCAGCCTCTCCACGTCCCCCACCCGGCCCGCCATCGGCTGACGGGCATACAGCCTCTCTGCCCCCACTCATTGGAACTCCATCCCAGTCCTTTCTCCTCCCTTGTCTCTTTCAAGGCACATCTCAAGATCATCCTCTTCGACCAAGCCTTCAGTCACCCTCCTACCCTTACCCTCCAGCCCCTCATGATCCCAACCCGGCTCCGAATCCTTGACTGTCCAGCGCCTTGGCCCGTCCTCCCAACATGAAAGGCGTTGTGTAAATGTAATTGGTTGTTGTATTCCGTGAAGCGCTTTGAGACCACTCTATGTCCTGATAAGGCGCTACATAACCCTAACCCTAATCTACAAGGCCATTCACGGCCTCGCTCCCTCGTACCTCTCCGACCTACTATTCCCCTACTTACCTGCCCGTACCCTCCGTTCCTCTGGCTCCGGTCTGCTCCACATCCCCCGCCCTAACCGCCCTACCATCGGTGGCCTGGCCTTCAGCCTCTCAGCCCCTCGGCTCCGGAACTCCATCCCGCAGTGCCTTCGCCGCTTCCTCCCTTTCCTCCTTCAAGGCCGGTCTCAGGACCTTTCTCTTCGACCGTGCCTTCAGCCCCCCTCTCGACTCTCTACCCCCTCCTCGCTCCCTCCCTTCCCTCCCCTTATCCTGACCATTTCCCCCCCCTCCTCGCTCCCTCCCCTCCCTCTGACCATTTCCCCCCCCCTCCAATGCTCGGGTCCCGACCCAACTGTCCAGCGCCTTGGGACGTCCTCCCGACGTGAAAGGCGCTCTATAAATGAAATCTTGTTGTTGTTGTTGTACATCAAATGCAAGGATTCTTATTACTATTAGCACCATAGAGATTTACAGCACAGAAGGAGGCCATTCGGCCCATTGAGTCTGTACTGGCTATCAAGAGCGAGCTGT